CCCCAATTCCCCCCAAGGCCTATGCTGCCTCCCCCCCCCCTCCCCCTCCCCCGCCTCTTCCACAGCATTCTCCATCGGCCTATCCCACTCCCGAAAAACGTGCGCAAACGCCCCGAAGCTCGCGACGCAGACACGCTCTTTGCGCGCTTCAGGGACTTCACGAATGTAACTCGTATCCGCCATCCCCAGCTTCTCAAATACATTCTCTTGAAGGTACGCGCTCATAGTCTGCCCCGTAGCACGCTCAATCAACACAGCAACCCAGTCCATCCCCGCGCCGTACGCAAACCTCTTCCCCGGCTGGTAGCAGAGCGGGCTATCCCTCATCGAGTTCCAGAAATCGGTGGGCCAGTTCCCCTTGCTTACCCTCTTCTGATATTCGAGGAGTTTGGCGTCGAAGAAGGAGTGTGCGCCGCCATAGGTATGTGTGAGCTGGTGGCGGAGGGTGAGTGGGCCCTCGCGGTCGGCGAAGATCGGGGTTCCGGGCTCAGTGTCGGAGAACCCGACGAATACTTTCTTCTCCGCGAGTTCGGGGAGGTGGGTTGAGATGAGGGTGGGAGAGTCGAGGGAAAGGAGGCCGCGCTCGACGAGCTGGAGACAGGCGATTGTGATGACGAGTTTGGTGAAGGAGTGGATGGGGGGATGGAGGTGGGTGAGAATGTCTTTTCTTGTGATTAGTTTTGGGTTGAGGGAGTGGTTTCGGGGACGGCAGAGAAGGAGAGTAGGGGCGTTCCAGCCGCGGTGGTGCTTTGGATTCCGATGTCTGGGGAGGAGGTGGTGCTAGTGGCGAGGAAGTTGGTTAGGAGGGCTTTGATTGGGGAGATGGCGGAGTTGGAGAGATCTGGTGAGGCCATGGCGGATAGAGTTAATAGGAATCTAGATCAATACGCCTGGTTTAGAAGACGAAGAGATATGCTACTAGATATATGGAATTTTTGAAAGTTGGGGTAGGCGTGGTTTGAGATGATCTCAGCAAACCTCGTATTAAGTTAACTATGCCCAACTCGTAATCTTTCCTAATCAATCTAGCCTGAAAGAGTTGTAAGAAATGGTGGCGCTTAGTGCTAACGCCTTTCTCGCTCGGACCAGCAAGGCGGGAGTAGCGCGCGCGCTGACAAGCTTAAAGCGGAATCTTTCCTAAGCCGTGTGACCTAGTCGCGTAGGGAGATGTCGCTTACGGGTTGAAGCTTTCCTTGTTCAAGATGACAAGGATAAATGGAACCATTGAAAAGATGGAGTCAGCAACTGACCACAGCATAGCATACCGAGCACCCCTTAATGGGTTAAACTGTATTTGAAGATATATCGTGTGTCGACAAGGCTGTTCATAAATGGGTATCTAAATAGGAAATTTTGCTGACCTCCGCCATCTCCGAGGACAAGTTACAAGGTACGAAAATTAGAAGAAATATACTTACAATAGCGGAAGAGTAACTTAAAGGGAACTTTTAGCCCCACATCATCAGTGTGAGAGTGAAAACAGTAAGTAGACATAAGGATGCTGGTTAGCAAAGGTAGAACTGTAAGCAGGGTGGAATCAAGGCCGAGGGCACATTTTCCGACCATAATGCCCCGTCAAATGGCAGGAACATTCTCATCCACAGCATCATTGCCGCGTGTCGCAAACGCAGATTGAATGCAATCACCCAAGTCACCTACCATCTCCATACCAGCGTTTACCTTTCGTAGACACGGCTCGAGCTTTTCACACCAGGCCTTTAGCATTTCAGGCGTGGGCGATATAGAGAAAGTGTCATACGCGTCATCAGTTGACTCCTGCCAGTCGAGGAAGTTAGTTGTCGTATCTAGCTTTCGGAAGCTCTGGGCGATAGATGCAGCTGAAGTTTCGACAATGATATAAGCGTTCTGGATTCGAAACTCCGGTGGCACTCGTTCGAGAGGCAACTTGGCTGACTTGCTTCGCTTGAGGTGGTCAGTAGTCCGGCAGCGACGCTTAGGTGCTACAGTTTCAGCAGTCTCTGCTGAAACAGCAGCCTGCGGGTTAATGGGCGTGAAGGATGACGTCGTGGGAACTACGTGCTCTTCAGGCTCAGGAGATTGTTCCGGTGGTAAATAGGGGCCTCCTCGAATCCTTGGCTCTTCCATGGTAGAATTATCTTCGTCCTCCACCCTATTCGTACGAGATCGACGCCTTGGACGAGCTCTGATAGGTGAAACATCGCTAGTCATAGGTGTAACCTTAGGAGGCTGTCTTGGTACTGCAAAGTCCCTGATGTCTCGATTACGACTCGTGTCTCCAGGATCAAACAATGCATTTGCAGCATCTAGAACCATATTTCTTTGAAACCCGCTTGATCCATCTGGGAATTGAATCGCATTTGCGCCAGGACCTTGCTTTCGGGAACGATGAGGCTGAGACGATCGAGGAGCCGACCCATTGTTGAACCAATCATTCTGCGTATTTTTGACGGGGAGGATAAATGATTTATTGATGTTCTGGTTGAAGTTTTGGGGCTTTCGCCGAAGCCCAGGATGAGCCTCGGGAATGTCCTCTAGTTGGGTGTCCAAGGCCAATTGGCTAGCTTGGTGGAACTCATGACGGGGCTCATCGGGGATCTGTCGGGCTTCTAGAAAAGAGATCTCATCGTCATGCACTCTATCCGCTGATGCTAGTCGAGTAGGTTTGATATTCGATTTCGGTGTTGGCAGATATTGGATACCTGCTGGCAAACTCTCGTTGTCGATGGATTGGGAGATTTTACCCGGAGAAGATGCCTCTGGTGTTGGCAGCGGAGCAAGTGATTGCCGCTGTCCGCTCGAGTTTTTTACTGGTGAACTTGAGTTGACGTGCTGATCGCTTCGCTCTCTTAGGGGCGTCATCAGCTGTGCACTTGAGATTGTTGCAGGTGACTTGATAGACGCGTTCATCTTTGCTATGGTCCATGGATTTGAGACCGAGACTTTGCGACGTTCTGTGATATCATCTTCATCGTTTTCGTCATCTAGATCTGAGGCACTTTCGACGAGTAGATCCAAGTCTTCTTGGTCAATGCCATACATGTTGTTTCTCCAGGTTCGCCTCCGCTTAATGGCAGGCTCCTCGACCTCGCTTTCATCCTCGAAGATTGTGAATGCGCTGCGTTGTTGGCTCGAGGGCTGCGTAAACGTCTCATCATCGTTTGTGTTGGAAGAGGGTTCCTGATCGATTTCCAGGCGTTCCAGATAGAAGGCATCAAGTAGCTGGCGGACTGCGCTGACGACCATGTCACTGTTCTCGAACAGCACATCGTCTTTTGCTGGCTCGATGTTTGCGTCGTAGCTATCTGGGGGACAGACGATATTCATGAAAATAAAAGGATCTCTCACTCCAGTGAGACCAACGCTGGACTTGGCAATCTTTTCTTTGAACAATACCACTAGTTGCTTCAGAACGCCGCGTAGTGCAGAAACGGGCCTCGAGTCGACTGAAATGAAATGGCCAACATTTCTGACCTTCGAGGCCTCAGCCGTCGGTTTAGGCAAAAATGCCTGGATCTCGAAGCCGTCTGATTCCATGATGGTCCATTCGCATTGAGAAGCACACTCTCTACCAATCACTTTGAAAGCTGCGTCCTCAAGATTGGCATCCGGTTTTGGTGCATACATCCAATTGATTTTTTCATTGGCTGCTTTGAGTACTCGAAGAGAAAACCTCGTTTTAGGCCTGCATAGTGCGTACCCTTGCATCAACTTCTTGACTTTGGCGAGGTATTTTGAAGAATGCTTCAGTGCGGCCTGTTTGCGAACTGGAAGCGACTTGAAGAAGTCTGTGACACGGACTGTGGTTCCCATTGGATGAGAGGCTCGGTCCTGTCTGAGTTGATCGAAAGCATTTAGTATACTAACTCATCATGAATGGTTTTCAAGTATGAAGACTTACCCGTCAATCTCGCCATTCCTAGCTATCTTCAAAAGCACAGCAACAGCTTCTCCTTCAACACGTGTGATGATGGAAAGCGACCCGCTCATCTCAGCTATACTCGCTAATGCCTCTCCCCGGAAGCCAAGCCAGCGACCTCCTACGTCCTTCAGGTCATCAAATTCGCGAATCTTGCTCGTAGAATAGCGGCGTGCAGCCATAGGACGATCCTCTGGGGCGATTCCATGGCCGTTGTCGCGGACTTGGATGACGTCAAGTGTATTCGACGATATCTCCACTACAATGGACGAGGCACGAGCGTCGAGTGCATTGTCAATGAGCTCTTTAACTACAGAGCTAGGGTCAGATAGAACTTGAGTTGATCCGATGAGCTTGATGGTGGTTGGCGGGAGAGCTGCGATGGATCCCTTCACTGGTGGCGCGGTGTCCTCCATCGCACGCATGGGGGGTCAGACCCCATGTGGCGAAGATGCAAGGCCCAGCAGGATATCGATTGTAAATAATCACGATGGAGATGATGGAGATGGAAAAAATGGAGATGGAGGGGTTAGGAAAGACGCGGTCTGTGCTCCCACGAAACCGTCACCTGATCACGTGCCTGTCATTTTCCATCAATTTGAGCTTGGCCATTAGTTTATTATCGATTGGAAGTTACAATCATTACTGAGCCTGGTTGTGTTCGGGAACACACAGTTCTGCTGTATGTGAAAAAAGGAAAGAAACAAGTCAAGTTGGAATAGTTCCCATTACCATGCGAATGCATGCTTGGTAAGATTCTGCAAAGCCTTCGACCTCCTCCTTGTAGTGTTCACCTCCCAGTCTTGAAACAAACCTGTACCACCAATTGTCCTTCTGGCAGAACTTCAACGCGGTAGTGAATTCCCAGTACTCAGGATACCAGCCAGCACACTCCCAATCGATGAACCCCGAGATATAGCCCTTGTAGAAGAGTATGTTGTCACGCTTGAGATCGCCGTGAGTGAAAACAGTGCGGTGGCGCAACGACTGCATGCTTTTCGCCTTCGTTAACTTCTCCTCAAACTCTTCCTCCGACAACCCGAGTCTAGATATAGAATTGAGGAGACGCTCATTGAAGGCCTGCTCACTATCGAAAGGGCCGGCGACGGGACGGCCCGGAAAGCGAACGTTTCGCAAATTGGTGCCAGAGACTGAGCAGACGAGTGCTTTGTCACGGAGCCTTTGGCCACTCTCGCATCGCCTCCAGCATCGTTTGCATCCCTGACAGTGCAGCATCCTGATCCTCTTTAGAAAGTGTCTCATATACCTCTCCAAGCTCCTGGCCGGGCAGACGTGTCATGAAGATGGACACTGGAGCGTGCGGAGTGTCCGGATGATCGCCATAGGTGAGGATGATTGGGACTGGAAATCCAGCAGCGCGGGCAACCTTGGTGGCCAGGACTTCCTCCAATCGAGTACCGTCAGACCACTTCAAGAGCAGACCGAAGGGGAGAGGGCAAATCTGCATGTTAGGAAGGAGGGGACGATGCGGTATAAACACCCCATCCCAGTAACGTAAGGCCTCGCCCAGAATGTGGATTTGATAAGTGATTCTTGGGGACTTGTGGAGATGAAGAGCTCCCGAAGGTGGTTGCCAAATGCAAGGTTGTCGTAGTTGGTCTGTGCGCACGTGCCTCCATTCACCTGCCAAGGCTGTCAGGACAGGGGAAGAGACCAGGGTCAGATCGCTTGTACTGGGCACGCTCAATGAAAGTTGTTTCGGACGTTGTAACACTTTCAAGATTTCATTCACCATCACCATCTTTGAACTTGAGATACTGGGCCGAACAGGTCGAGTCACATGAAGCGTATGCAAAATAAAAAGGCCATTATTATGGGGGAGGGATATTGGCACACCCTCTAATCACTCCACGCACACCCTGTCGCTTCACCACCTTCTGATTGGCTAGAGCGGCCGGGCCGACTCTTCGGAGCTTCCGCTCGTGCTCCTCTTGGAAGTGAACGAGCGAGCGCAAGCGGCAATGCAGGCAGGCCAAGGTTGATGGAAAGAAGCCTCTATTAGACGATATTTTGATAGTTTCGGCATCCTCCTAGGCACATTGGCACTGCACACATAGCTGTATATGATGGTGCCGTGAGTAATGCTGTACATAATGCCGTGAGTGGTGCTGTACATAATGCCATATATATGGCCATACGTACAGCCTCTCTTATACAGCCTCACGTACGGCTATATAGCCTTTCCCATTCGTATAGTCTTATATATAGCCTCACGTACGAGCTGTATATATGGCTGCACGAATCAGAAAGGATGCACTGTAAAACGGAGAGGCTGTATAGCTATGCCGATTTGTATGCCCTTACGTATAGCCTCACGTACAAGCTTACATACGGCCTCGCGTATAGCATCACGTGTAGAGAGACGTAAGGGTGAATGCCCGGAGGAAGCTCCGGCCCCTCCGAGCCAACCAGAAGGTGGTAAAGCGACAGTGTGTGCGTGGAGTGATTAGGAGATGTGCGATTATCCCTCCCCGGATTATAAACAGAAACCTTTGTAAAATAGATTCTATTGGTGAATATACACACAGACGCTCTACCAAGGCAAGGGATATTGACGGGGCCTGATTGGGTGTCTGGTCGTGATATCCGTGTTTGTGAGTATGTAGGGAAGTGATGGGGAGTGATCAACTGCAAGTTCTATCCGTATGTCTTTCTGTATGGGTATGCCCGTTCATGATCCACAATACTCCCGAATAGCCACCAGCCCGATCGCCTCTTATCGTAATGGGATTGCATTGAACCGTATGCTTCAGGAGCTAGTCGTGGAGTTGGTCGATATTGAGTAGAGTCCGGACAGCTGTGCGTTCTAAGTAAGAGTCTGAAATGTGAACACTGAAGCGTTTGGAGGACACACGTACCAGTTGAGCGCGCCTAGAGTCCACACAGTCTCGACATAATGATAGGTCTGGGCCTCACAGCCTTTGCTGCGGCTTGCGCATTCTGATTCGCAAAATCCAGAATCTCCGCCTTCAAAGCCTCCAGATCTTTGCACTTGAGAACCACGGTTCCGTTGCCGGGAGCAGGGGTCTGCAATCTTTTAAGCACCCAGAAGGGCCAGGCATGACCGTTGATTTCGGGCCGCGAGTTCAGTGAATCGTCCGTGCTCCTCTAGCCCAGCCGGCACTCTCGCGATCTGAATGACACCAACAAAAAATGATGAGCTTAGAGCGCCTGGGCTTGAGCATGTGCCGTGGTCCGGAAACCATTTGCCAAGGGTACGGGTCTGAATGTGGTATTTGGTTCCACCATTGGAGTCTCGGTGCAGGTAGAAGCCTCAATGGAAGTCATCCTTGACAGGGGGGTCATTACGAAGGAAGAGAAGGATGTACAGTCCACCGGGTTCGAGGTTATTGAAGCTTGACATGATGGAAACTCTCGGGATAGAGTGATATTTGACAGCTAAGAAAGAAGAGAGCAGTTGATAGTAAGGTAGTTGCTAGGAGCAGTGAGCCTGAAATTTATAGATCTATTTGTAGGGCACTATGTTTGCAAATCGGCAAACGCGACACATTTCGAGCCAACTATTGCCATGTTTTACTTGACAATGGAAACAGTAAGAAGAACAGGCAGGCAAGCGACTTTTGCTGCTCTCCTTCAGCCGCTAGTTCCCACCCACCGTCTAAGCGCGGGTTGCGTGGGCCCTCCTTCGTGAGTATGGCCAAAGCATTCATCACCAAACTAATCGCAATATATCTCTACCTTGACAGTCGGGTTATCTTGTCTAACCGCTCCCAGTCTGAGTCTTGGACAAAGATCGACAAGGCCCAACTCGACGAGGCCAGCACCCTCGAATTACTAAGAATGGACGCGTGATTCACGGTTCCCAAGGTTTGACATCGTCCCTCAATTTCAGATTCTGGGTTGCGACACGTTTGACAGCGGCAAACTAATGTACACAAACTTGACATTTAGAAGATTTTGTACATGTACGTACATCTACAGCCCACAAAGCTTAGACAGAGCGATTGGTCGAAGTGGCGCCGTGCCAATGTCAGGTTTAGTCCTGCATAACTCAGCAGCATCCTCCGCATGCTCATTCCCCCAAGCGAGAATCTCCTCCTCCAATGCCTTCAAATCCGTACACCTGAGAATTTGATATCGATCGGCACCACGCAGTTCTTGAAGCAGCTTAAGGACCCAAAAAAGCCAGACATCGCAGCCGATTCCAGGGCGCTGATTGAGGGAGTCGTCAAAGCTCCTAGCCGCTCTATCAACTTCGCACTCCCATTCCGGAGACACTCTCGCAATCTGGAAGAGTCCAACCAAAGCGTGTGATTTGAACAGTCCCGTAGTCATGCCGTGGTCTGCGACCCATACCCAATCACGGTCGGGATCCCAGATGTGGTACTTGGTACCACCAATGTTTTTGTATTTGTGCAAGTAGAGCCCCCAATGGAAGTCGTCCTTTGGAGGTGGGACGTTCTGGATGAATAGCACGACGTACAGTCCGCCTGGTTCTAGGGTATCGAGAGACATGATGTAGAAGGGGTCGGGCAGGAGTTGGGAGCTTTTAGCGCCTCGAGGACAAGGTGACGTGTCGAAGAAGAGGAAAGTGCTGGAGAGGAGATGTGTCGAAGCAGAGAACAGAGCAGTTGAAGGTGTCCAGCTAAAAGGCACGGCGACCCTTGAGCTCGTTTATGTAGGATACTGGCTTCTTCCGTCGGGTGGCTTGACGGAACCGTAGGGTCAAGTCACAGTAATCTCGGGCCACGTGTTCTCACACCGCTACTCTCCAGCCGCCATTCCCCGTCATCGAAGTGGTGGTTGCGCCTCATGGCTAGGGAGGACCAGAGCTCAGCCGTTCCCAATACCGCCACATCATTCATTACCGCTGTTCTCCCTTCTCTTCTCCCCAAAAGAACTGTTTCTCAACCTTAATCCCATCTCTACTCTCACAACCCTGCGATTCCTCGTCTTTATCCGTACTGCACCCCACATTCGTTCTTGAGACGGTTCGCCCTTCAACAACTGTGGTAGTCAAGCACATCTCATCTTCATCAGGCCGCCACCTCCCCGTCTCCGCTTCGATTTTCCCAAACTTGATCTTTATCTTTATCGGCGAGTTTACAAGCGCAACCTCCCCATTGGCCGCGTCATCCCTCTCATCTCCAAACTGTGTAAGTTGGGTTTCATTCAATACCTCCGCATCCACGTCCCTATTCCTCATCTTCCTCGTGCGCTTCTTGGATATTGTCTCTAGAGTTGGGTACGGAGCCCCCCCGTTATCGGAACCGGAAGACTTCAAGTCGTAGCCGAAGAAGTCATGTAAGACGTGGAGTAATAGGGGCCGAAGAGTGGGTAGACAACCGGAGATGATGCCAATGGAGGGCTCGACAGAGGACCAGATGAAGACGTCAGATTTGGCCCAGGATATATCAGTGGTCTTCGTTAGACGGATGATGGTTACGATGCGGTAGAGAGAGGCAAAGCAGACGAAGCTTCCGAGTAAGAACATAAACATGATAATGAACTTCTGCGGTCGGCTCATTTGCAGGCGCCATACGTTGCGAATGGGGACGGATAAGATGCAGATATCACCGAAAAGATTTATGATGCCGACTCCGAGGTAGAACTACGCTCAGTTTAGCTTAGTTTACCATTCGACGAATGAGGGTGGGGAAAGCAAACATTTCCTTCGTTGACCTGCACAACACCTTTAACGCCGTACCACTGGTCCCAGTAATACGAAAGCGGCTTGGTGTATAGCGGAAGCACAATATGGTTCGTGATGAGGTACCCTGTAGTCAGGAATACGCACCACCAGCCCAATAATGTCATGCCGAAAATGCGGCGGTAGAGGGCTATAATGGAGAATTTGATGACACAGACGCTCCAGGCGTAAATGAAGACGTATGCGAAGGTGATGACGGAGATTTGTCGCATGTCGTAGGGCGTGAGGACGTAAATATGTCTTCCTAGCCCGAAGAAGCCCCCTATAGTACAGTATCGATTAGATTATAGCTTCGTCGGAATGGTGGAGCGCCTCGTTGTGAATTTGTACGGTCTTCTGCCGCCGTCCGAGATGACTTGGAAAGGTTTTGAGTTGGTCAAAACAACCGTCACTTTCGGACTCGAGAAATGGTATAGAAGCATTTCAGACGGCGACAGAGAGGGGTACATAGATCGGTGACGAGGAATTTTAGAGATGGCTTACCTGCGATGCAACACGCCAAATTTCCAGCATTCAGCCCAAGCCCAAAAAACATGAGCCAATCGTCCAACCCCAGCGCGGCATGCTGGTATTTCAATCGAGTGAGCAGTCGTAACCCCACAAACACCGCTGAGAGCCCAAAGAGCACAGCACCAACGGCGTTGTTCCTAGATGTCCGATTCTCGGTCAGATCCAGGCCTGGCGGGGGGTCTGAGAAGTAGTCTGCCATGGCGGAGGGAGCAAGTTTGCGAGATTCTCGAATAGTATGTTGTTATGGCGTCTTAGCCCTAAAACAAGCCACGAACGAAGACAGTGGGGGACGCAGACTCGAGACCCTAGGAGCGAGGCCACTCATCTACATACAGCAGTACGAACCCGGAGCCAGCCGCTCCCGCGCTGATCGTCTCCTTGGCCCACTGTCGTTGGAGAGCCGAGGAATTTGCCTCACGGTGTTGAGATAGCGTGTGTGGTAGCGAACCACTCAAATTCACGTCCGAGTTCACGGAGGCAGCCGAGGGATCGAATGAAGAGAGTTCTTCGGGGGTCCCAGGGCCCCTTGTGGTGGGGCGTGGTCATCACTGCGTCGACACGCAGGAAGGATCTTCTCTCATACAGTATGTACGACTCGTGTGCGGGCCAATACACCGAGCAACGGGAGACGAAGTTCGGCTGGCCGTCATGCCAAGGGTACCGCGTGCTCGTCGCATTGCCACAGCCACTAACGGTGTCCGGCACAGCACCGATGGCGCCCCGTCGAAGAGATGGTGCATCTCAAACTTTTGACGTCTGCGTTCCATGCGGCCTTTTCGAAGTGTGTGAGACGTGTCTGATGACTGATGATCCCTCCTTGTTCTCAAAGCCGTTGTGCCGTCCACCCGTGGTGCACAAGTACGCGGGCACATGAGTCGTGAAAACGGAGTCCTCGAGTCAGTGTTCCGTGCCCGTCCACCGAGAACGGCCCACGGCCGATCAAGCCAAGTGTGAAGAGGGTGAGAGTCGCAGATCGACAGGAGGACGCCCCATGTGCCCGCAGCTGCATCCCTAGCGCAGCAGCCGGTGAGCCGCTCGCCTCGCCATTGCCATGACTGGCTCAGCTTGCTCTCCCCACGCCCAATGCGCAAGGGTCGGCACGGAACGCCCGCCGGTATCAAGCCCTTCCCTGGCACACCCTTCAAATCGCGTGGCCGGAGCTACCCCTCCTCCTACTCGAACTGCTCGTTGCTTTTCCTGCATCCTCATCCACTGCATCCGCCACCACCATGGCTCCCTCAAAGACCCCAAAGTTCAAAGTGGCAGCGGCCCACGCCGCGCCTGTCTTCATGGACAAGGCTGCCAGCACTAAGAAAGTCATCCGTCTGATCGAGCAGGCCGCTGTCGACGATATCAAGCTCCTAGTTTTCCCCGAGACGTTCATTCCCGGATATCCGGTACGCCCTGCCGTTGTTGCACATCCATACTGTACAAAGTCTTCCAGCTAATCCTTCCCGCAGTACTGGATAGAGTGCTACCCGCCCTTGAAGCAAGTCGGGGCCCTTGTCAAGTACGCTGAGGAGAGCGTCGTCGTCGAGCCGAACGGGGAGGACGTGAGCGGTATCCAGGACGCCTGCCGCCGCACTGGTGTGGCAATTAGTCTGGGCGTGTCGGAGCGAATTGCGGGAGGCCACACGCTGTTCAATTCGCAGGTCATCATCGAATCCAATGGCAGCATCCTGGGCGTCCACCGCAAGCTGCAGCCCACCTATTGCGAGCGTTATGTCTGGGCTCAAGGAGATGGCAGCACACTGAAGAATTGGCCACTCTCGCTGGGCTACAACCTCGGCGGCCTGGCGTGCTGGGAGCACACAATGAATGGCGCTCGACAAGCTCTCATTCAACAGAACCAGCACATCCATGCCGGTGCGTGGCCTGCGCTGTCGACCATGGCAGGATTCGAGGCTGTGGCCGACGCACAGATTGAAGCTCTGATGAAAACGCATGCACTCACCGCTCAGGTCTTCTGTATTACTGCGTCAAATTACGTTGACGACACCTGCCTGGATTGGATGAAGGAGAACCTGGGCGAGCAGGATCTTGTCAAAGCTGGTGGAGGATGGTCGGCCGTGCTCCATCCTTTCTGTGCCTTCATTGCGGGCCCGCATACGGGAGCGGAGGAGAAGCTGATCCAGGGGGAGATTGATCTCTCGCAATTGGGTGGAGTTAAGGTCTGGGTTGATGCCGCGGGACACTATCAGCGGCCCGAGATCCTAAACTTCAACTTTGATGCACGGCCGTTGTGGGCAGATGAGAAAATCGACAAGTTTAGTTTGAAAGGCGCCAACACAAAGATTACCAAGGAAGAAACGGAGGGGAAACCAGAGTGAGGGAGCATCACGTGTATCTCACGTGATCCATGCCACACTGAGATCCTGGAAAGTTTTTTCTCTTTCACTACATCAATAACGAAACAATGAAACGCATTCTCGGCTTCTGCATCAGATTTCTGCAGGCAAGCGCAATTCTTCTCGAAATCGCGATGATATCCGAAATTTGAACACGACGCACACCATACGGGCTCACAGATCATCCTTCTATGCATCAAAGCATGACTTCTCCACTCTCCTAAACCCTTTCTAGTTATCGAGCAGCGCCTAAGCGTGATGCAATCGCAATGCAAGATTGTCATTCTGTGGAACGAATCTCCGCATCCCTTGCTTCCAGGCAGCAACTTCGACAACCTCCTTTACGTATATATGGACGTGCCTCGCTGTTTAGCTTTGCATTCTCAATGCAGCCATTTCCTGGTGGTCATAGCTCTTGTCATGGCTTTCTCGGACATCCCTTTGGAGCTCCTGCGCAAAATACTCAAGCAAGCCGTCCTAAAACGAGGACTACGGAGAAGATTGAGATTGAGACTGTTTGAATGCTGTATTCTATTTCAACGAGCTGATATTTTCTAGAGCTATTCGCCGATAAGGTCGAACAAGCTATATTCGCAACAGATCTTCTGGAGTCACGCAAACAGAGCAAATCGTCCAAAGATATGCCGAAACGGCTATACCATGCGTAGCTCCTCTCGAGTTTTCCGAGAAGAGAACAAATCGTCAAAGTTCACCATTTTGCCAGCGATCCACACAACGGCACAGACTTTGTGTCGACGAAACAGCATCCCAGATCATGACCACAACACAAGGAGGACCTATTTAAAAGCTCTGTGTTTCTGCTTTGACCAACAGCTTTTTTTGAAAGAAGAAGTTTGGTCTAAAACACCACTTGCTGAAGACTTTCGTGTTACTAGCCGCCGACGGAGCGTCCAATCTGATGCTCCACTCGAATTTAACGCTCTGATCGATGCGATGGCTGCGGCCGCTTTCGTGGGTCTGCTCGAAGTTGGTCCAAAGTCTATCTAGAGAGATCGAAGTCTATTTGCATCCTCCACGGGAACTTCAGGGCCAAATCTTCGGCTGCCCGATCAAGGCCGCTGCTAAGCAAGAACATTACCACATTCTCGAGTTCCTCCTAGGGAATATTGACTTCTCGGGAAGTGGACCCCTATGGTCTCACCATATTCTAGACATACTCAATACAGCCGCTGAGACTTCTAATGATAAGCTACCCAGAGTAGCTTATTACAGCGCCAATCCCAAATGCCCCATAGTTCCGCGCGCGTGGGTCGGGAAGAATGAAGAGTGCTCAGCCAAGCTCCCTGAGTCAAATGTCCCGCCCTCTTTCAACGGCATGTCCGGTCGCGACGTCTTCATCCAACTTTGGCATCTGCCCTCGCCATTCGAAGACCTCAAGACCAAAGCCTTATTCAAACTTTACCCAGTTCACTTCTCCTATTTTATCAATTGCACCACAGCCATAATCAAGTATCTCCTACAGCCCCGGGATTCCCGCAGCTTCGAAGAGCAAAACCGGAATATCATGAATAGAGACGAAGTAATCGACCTTTTCTGGCTAGAGGCTTGCCGCAGTGGAACTCTGGAACTCGTCTCCATATTCCTGGCCCGCGGCTAGGAGCCCACGCCCCTGCATCTCCAGCATACGATCAGCAAGGGTCAGCTCGTGAAGACGCGGCTACTTCTGGATCATGGGCTCAAGCTCGAACCAGGAAAGCGAAAATACACTTACAAAGCTGACTGTATCACGTGCATTGTTGTTCCCACACCCCGTATCATCTTCGCAGTCCTGCTAGAGCGCACCGACTTCTTCCATCTACTACGCCAGCACGGAGCTGTACTCGGCAGCCGTCGGGCAGGCGGGCTCGCACTGCGGCTAGCGGCGGAGGAGGGGCTCAAGTCGATGGTCAGGCTGCTGCTAGAAGATGGAATTCCGGTCTTTGGCGCGAGTTGCGGGCTTTCGCCATTTGGTCCTTTCAAAGGCGCGGGCAACAAGAAGGCGTTGACCTATATTGGACATGGGGTGCGGCGTTTGCTTGTAGATGTGGGTGGGTTGAACAGGACGGATGATATGACGGATCGTATCTCCCCAATTTGTGAGAGCTGAGGGATGGTATTCAAGAGAGAGTAAATGGAATACACTGCTCACGTGCGTGGCCCTCACCATAACAAACACAGACGTCCGACCTTGGAGCGTAACTATATATATTAGATTGTTTTAACACATCTCAACTAACAAACAGGATAGCCCAGTTGGTACCGGCCCCACCACCTTACTTAGGACCGTGTTCGATTCCCAGCCTTGTCAGACTCCTATTCGGAGAAACCCTTAGGGTGGCTACGCCTCCTTCACCAGCTGAAGAAGGTGGTGTTTTGCTCCTTGGATATTCTTTTATTCATTTTTGTTCTTCATGCTGGCCAGACTGTGTGCGTGCAGTGCAAGTGTAATTTTGAACCTCCAGGGCTTATCTGGCTGCCTCGTTATGACACTGTCCAGACACGTGACATACACGTGACTGTTACTTGTTGATCCCAAACCTAAAGTTTTGGAGAGGGCATTGAAGCGAAGCAATAAGATATCCATAACTTACGGAATCAGCGAACACAATCTCCGTGCTATTCGACGAAATGTGATGTTGCGGCGCGTCATACGAATTTCCCAGCCCCCCGTCTCCCTAGAATGCTTTCAATATAGCCAATCAGCGCTCTCTAACCCCCGCAGCCATGCTATCACGTCTCACCAACCTTCACACTACATATATCCCACCCCCCTTCTTCCCACCACTATCATCTACTCCATCCGAATCCGATACTGCTTTGTCTGCAACGAGAATGTCCTTCACCACCCCTTCCACTCGCTGGGCCGCTCTCACGACCCGCGACCCCGCCGCTTACTCCGCGTTCATCTACGCCGTCAAGAGCACGAACTGCTATTGCCGTCCTACATGCCCCGCGCGACTGTACGTAGTTCTTCGCATTTTATAACTTTATTATTTCCCTTTTGATGTCACTTTCTTAAAGATTCGGTCTGGGAAGATGACCGAAACGTGATTCAGGAGCTGAACATGCAAGCCTGCAAGTTTATGTTGTTACTCGGTCTGTTTTTGGACTATATGCTGACTTGGATGATGATCTCTAGTGCTCGCCGCGCAAATGTAGTGTTCTATTCTTCAGCGGCTGAGGCAGCGAAGGACGGCTTTAGGGCATGCAAGCGGTGTAAACCGGATGCTGGCGACGAGTACGTATTTCCCAAGACATGCATATACCCCCTTAACCTATCCACATCAACTTCCCCGAATGCTATTTCGGTGAATCAGGCTGCAGATACTTCCGGATGTGCCTTTCGTAGGATCATGCTGACTTGTCTGAACTCTAGGAAAGACGCTGCGGACATTGCGTTCGAAAAGGCCTGTTCGATCATCGTAGATGCTGTCGCTGAAGGTAAAGCAAGCGAACTGGGGTTGAAAGAGCTAGCCAAGGCCGTAGGACTGACGCCGAGATACTTCCATAAAGTCTTCAAGGACCGAATGGGTGTTACGCCGGCGCAGTACGTGAAACTAAAGGGAGAGGAGATGTCTACGATAGGAGGATTGAGTGCACCACAAGAGGAGGGGAAGGAAGACCCACAGAGGGGACCGAGTGGAGGAGAGCAAGAGCTTGGATTCGATTTTGATTTCGGAGACTTGGTTAACGAAGAGATGATGGGTGGTGGGGAGGGCAGTGTGAGTCCTGAGGGACATACGCCGCCGTTGCCAGATGGACAACCGGATGGCATCCTACCCGATGCGCTTGCCGATGCAGATAGGGAGAAACAGATGCCATTCTACTCAGCTCTTTTCACGTTTGATGAGATGGGCTTGGATTTGCTCGATCTGGGGACTTTCGGGGGTGTGGATGAAATCGAACATGCTTGGTTGAATATGGAGGACGACAAGACTCTGAATTCTTTGGCTCCGTACGACTTCAACTCTGGAAACTATATGGATTCGAATCCTTTCATCATTCCTTGAAAGGCATGGAGTTTGCCTTTCGGCAGAGGACCTCCTCTGCACGGACGGCACTTTTATGACTCAAAAGTCTTTTCCCAGGATTCGCCAACGATGACACACAACGGCAAACCCAAATGTCGAGAAACCACTGCAGATGAGCAGACAACGCTGTCTCCACGATATTCCCGCCCCACCACCTCTCCTCAGGCCTATCTACCCTCTCATTCCCACCGACATCAAAATCACAAGATTCGCCCGGTTAGCTCAATCGGTAGAGCGTGAGACTCTTATCATAGCTCCATGGCAGTGAAAGCAATCTCAAGGTTGCGGGTTCGACCCCCGCATCGGGCTCAATTCCCGATGAATAGCAATCTCATCATCTTTTTTTTGCATTTTTCTCAAGACTGTTCATTGCTCTAGACATTAGTGGAAGAAGAGGTTGAAAAGTTATTTAGATGTCTACGCTAAAATACGCGTACAAGAGCATGTAGCAGAATGACGAAATGTCTCATTTTTTATCCTTTCAACTGAAGGCCCCCTCGCACAGTCGACAATCATGAATTTCCTATGTTTCCGTTTCCGCAAACTAACTCTCTACCCTCTACCCTCTAATCCAGACAGCCATTAAAAGTCGTCGCCATCGTCCACTTTTCGGGATCAACCCGATTCTCACGCCGCCGCCTCCTCAAACACTCCGCCACGTGCAATTCACATTCCTGCCTTCAACCGCCCATGAATACAATGTTGCTTTTGCTCCCAGGGCTGATTCCGAGCCTTTGTTTCGTAAATTACTTGGTAGATGGGGACACATGTAGGGGTTAGAAGGGCCTCCGGGGTGGCGTGGTCTATTGATGGGCCAAGTTGATGCGGTCTTCTAAGTGAAAATTAGGGTCTTCAGTAGCGCAGCAAAGACAACATAGAGTTGTCTAGACTTAGTTCTTCTCCTTTCGTGTTGATCCCGAGAGGCGGAACGAGCTGATGACGTTATCGTGTGTTTATTATCGTGCGATTCTCAACGACTGGGAGCAGCAGTTCTCTGCTATCTCAGTGCAAGGGTATCAATCACGACTATATCCTCACGCGCTAATCGCTTCAGTATACACCTTATGAACTAGTCGATTATATGTAGTCATACGTCGTCTATCTACTCGGTGTGACAGGACGGCCGTAGGGAGGAAGCGCTCGAACCTGGTCGTGATTCCATTAGCTTGATGTTCGCTAAGATTGAAGCGATCAAATGTGTAATGCTAAGCGTGTTTCAGAGACCCGTAGTATAAGCAGCGACAGCACAGCATTTGTCGATACTGGCCATACCTTTTCCGGCTCTTCCTATAAGATTTCTTGAGGGTTGAAAACTTCTCATCATTGTACGCTGGGGTGGTGCTGGATATGGGAGAAATATATACGCACATGGGGAGCTGTGAAGGACTTGAGGATGCTCTGGAGGATTTTAGATCGGTCGCTCCAGAGGGTGGAGTCTGGTGCGTAGAATCGAGATACGTTCTTCGAGGCTAAGGGTTAATGAAGCTTGTCCTGTAAGTAGCTGTTGAGTTTGAAGAGGTTCCGTCGATTGGGATGGCGCTGGCGGCATGGTTGCAGTGCCAGCTGGTCTTCAAAATTCTCCGAAATGGCTATTTTCAGGCCATCTCTCCTACCCAAAGCCCCGCATACTTCTTCCGATGAGTTTGATGCGGAGCTTGCACGATGATGCTATCGATGAGGATGAGACATTCAGTGCGATCTGAGCCCACGAGTGGCGCTTGAGTTGGAGAGCTGGGCTGGGAAGACGGTTCTGGTGGTGTAGAGTCGCGAAAATTTGGGAGTTGAGCGAAAGCCAAGAGCTCTGCTGAATCAGCAATGGGTCTGTGCGCACACTACTGGCCTGCTGGAGACATTTCATCATCATTCAATTATCATTTCATCACAATGCCATTGAAATGGCTTAGGCTCGCGATCCTCTCAAACTTCATTCTTGATGCAAATATGTGTGCAGTTTTCCAGCGTCGTTTGTAAAGACAATCGCTAAAGCTTTCTCATTGACGATGAATTGGCCACCAGTATCTCCAGTCAACCCGGCTAGCTCATCTATATATGCTATCCAGGGCCCAGCGCCAGATGACGGCTTTGCGACGTTCTCAATGATCGAATCAGGTATCCTTCGTCTGCCTTGGTCAGGAGTCTGCCTTGGTCAGGAGGATGAAACATGAGGCTGTGCTTTAGCCCCCAGAGACAAGGATCTGGAAGGCGTAGCCGCCGCGCTACTTCGTACACTACGTCTTATAGGCTAAATATCCCAGGATCGATCCTAGAGGAGCAAGTACTGCAGCTTTAGCGTAAGAAACCAGAGTGGCGAAGCAGCTAGTTGTAGAGATGTAACTCTGCCACTGCTGTGCCGTATGGCATCGCCCTCTTCCGATCTCTTAAGAATGCCTCCTACTCTTCTTCCCCTTCTGGCGTCTCGTCCTCCACTAGAAACATTTCTCTGGTTCTTTTCAACATGCGTTTAACACTGTTTGCACTCTCTGTGCTTCAAACTCTATGCCTTATAAGCCCCACGCTTGCCAACAACACGCCAAACAATATCCAGCTCAACAACCAAGCCAATGGTATGAATCTTTCTCATAATGTTTTCGATGTCTTGTCATAATCTTATGTCGTTCAAGGAAATCACGTCGAAAAGACCCTGGTTCCTCGTATAGTTATTCCAGAACCGAAACCAATCGAACCAATTGACCCCCCGGCTCCCAACGAGAATCCAACCGAGAATCCAAATGAGAATCCATTTGGCACTCCAAATGAGAACCCAAAAGAGAATCCAAATGAGAATCCGAATGAGAACCCAGATAACCCCAAACCCAAAACTGAGGACCCTGAACTCCCTGACGCAGGCTCTACCTCCGGAAATCCGACAGCTACGCAGGATTTCAACAATGGAAATCCTACGCCTATTTCTATATCAGCCGGAACTATCGGGACCACACGCATCTCGGCCGCATTTGCTACGAATACCCTATCAAGTGCCCCAGTGACTAATTCGGCGACTTCTTGGCCTAGAATCTTATCTATGAGCGGCCGCGCGGCGGTGTATGCCATCGTGGGATCTGTTATGCTCGTCAACTATGGCGTAAACTGGCTGCCAGCGCTTTAAGTGACTACCTTATCTTTCCTCAACCTCGACCCTCAGCATCAGCTTCACCATCATCAAATCACAACATCAGCCAACGCCTCCTTCCTACATCCATTCGTATCTACGACGATCAATTCGAGCCTCATCAACGTTATCAACATGGACAAAGTACCGCAAGAAGTCGTAGAGGAGATCCTCTTTCAGCTCGTCCCACCAGAAGACCGCGACCACGCGCGGTCATGGCCCCCAAGTACGGAGTCGGCGGTCAAAAATGGAATAGAGACCAAATGCGTTCCGTAGTCTCGATTTTCGCGCAGCTGGCAGTACACAGTTGAGCGGCAGACTTTTCGCGACATTCATTTCACCAATGAAGAGATATCCGACGTGGTAAAACTTCTGCAAGATGGCCCAAAGTACCGTATCGGGTTTATTCGAGTCATTCGATACGACATCATTCTCCCGTCATCCTCTGATGAGCAATGCATAGAAGAGGAACCAAACGAGGATCAAGATATTAACAACAGAGTATTCATGCGGGCTCTCAGCGATCTGTTCAGTGTTCTACGAATGCTGGAGGATGCTGACAACGGTACCGTGCGACGAACCCTCGTGCTGCGAGATGTTTACTCCAAGTCTGATAAAGACTGGTTCCGTGGATTAACAGAAATGACTTCGCATGGGTACCCTAATGAAGACACTAGCAGATGTTCAAAATACCCAGATGGTACCTTCAGCAAAAGGTACCAGTTCTCGCTTCTTCGCCCTACGAAAGTCGACGAGCTGCCAACCCTCCTATCCATCGACAACCTGTTTTTTCTGCCGTCGGCTTCTAACCGATATGTCGAACGTGCCTCTTGTATGGCACTTGCGACCAAATTTCCTAACTTGGAAAATTGGGTATGGGAGGACACTGAAGGAAATTACTTGGCTGCCCGAGAGCGGCGACAGCCACGAGAAGGCAAGCCTAACATCCCCCGACATCCACACACACACATCGATTCTGATCCGCCTAGACTTCGCCAATGCCCTCAATGCTGCCACAAATCTGTCTCCGTACCGTCCGATGGATATTCGATCACCACGGAAGAAGTATCTACTCTAAGCAGACCGATGTGGCAATCATCGACCGCTGTTCCAGTTCTCCAGACTCACTCAGCCTCGCCCTCCACGCGTTCATGCTTCGATCTCCCAAACTCAAGTCATTCTCAGCCCATGGCGCTTCTCTCTATATCTCCCGACTTTTTCTGGCCGCCGAGTATGCACCTTACCACGCCCTCCTTCTCTCCGCTCAATTTTGTGCGCTTCACTATCAACCACATCCGCCCAGGGGCGAACACTACTTCAAGCGGGGTCCACCTCCACTCGAAACGCTGACTACCGGACCTCGTAACCATTCCCCTTCACCACGTCCGCGCAACCACCCCAGCCCCGCCCTCCTCCGGCTCTTCACCAGCCTTGCCACCTTCGTCCTCCACTGCCCCACTCTCACCGGCGTCTCGCTGCGCTCCTACCGCATCCACGAACACGGCGATATCGGCATACTATACCCAGCGCGTGTCGCGCTGAAGTACTTAGACTATCCGGCGCCAGAGTGGCGCGATGAGCAAGTGAAGCGGCATTGGGGGATTATGGGCGACGAGCGGGTGCTGCTCTTCGAGGTTGGTCCCATGCCGAAGAATTGGGAGCCGGACCAGCAGGGCGAAATGTGGGGCGCGTGGAGGAAGGTGTTGAAGGCGGATAGTAGGATAGACGGCATAAAAGTGTTTATCAGGGGTGAGAATATCCCGGATGTCGGTGGTGATCAGTATTGGCTAAGGGGGTGGAATATGGCGGAGTGGGACTGGACGCCGAGGGAGGGGAACGAGGAGGAGTTATATAGGGACAGCTTGAAAGCGTAGACGGGGAGGCGGCGAGTCTTGATGTCGCGTGTTGGAATTAACAAAACTTACTTTCGTTAAAGCTGATCTTATACTACTGTTATCGTTCTAACTCTGCCATTCCATATCCATCCTCTTAACTATTTTTTTCTGGCTCTATCATCTTAATTATACCATTCTAACTCTACCATCCCTACCTACATCACGAAGTCGCAGAAACCCTTGTCGAACCTCCTTTACGGCGTCAGGCCTCAATCTCTACACTAACAAGCCAATCCTACCCTAGAGAAAGCAACTCCGCGACCGAAAATGCCTCTCCTCCTTTTCCCGTCCGAGTCCCAAGCCGACATCTCAATGGCATCGAAACTCCCTCGACCCGCTTCTCTACCGCCCTCACTAGTCGATCTACCCCATCGCCTGCGGATGAGGCTGGGTTGGGATTGTCTCCCGCGGTGGGATTTGGAGAAGGTAGTGCTGAGACCATGCGCAGTTCTTGCTTGCTACCTCACATTCGTGTATAATGCTTCCCTTGTCGACTTTGGGGTTCGGTGGGAGGGGACCATGCAGGCTTGACTATGCCCAGAACTCGCCTGAATGTGCGCAAAGAAAGGGTTCAATTCATGACCTATGTCCAAAATCCTAGGGTTAATGTTGCCTCGATGAACAAAGTCGCCAACCAATCTTTTTACCGTCCATAGATTATTTCTATTCGTCGGCTTTAAATGCAGTATCTCGCTACCAGCCTTGAATTTCACAGCGCGGAAAAGCAAAAAAAGAGGGTCTAGCCTCGCTTTTGACCCTTTCCCGGAACGCCGCCAGGCCTGCGTGAAAGATTCGCACGCCCGCATCCGAAAATCCTAATAGACAATTAAAGACGGAGACGGAGTAGCAACTCGGCCATTGGCTACCCCTTATAGAAGGTATCTCGGTAGCGTCGTCTTGCGTTTGATGAAAGGCGCCCAGCCCTCTGCGCGATCGACGGGATCACTCCCCTCGGAGTCGTCTCGAGATGGGCCAGGGTTCGGGGACAGCCACAGCCGACGCCAGGCACAGCCGACCGGGGGCGTCGAAATGGGCAAGGCGCCCCTCAGCAGACGATTGGCGAGTGCGGAAAATGATCGTATTTTGGGGATTCGTCGGGGGCGCGAATTCATGCTTTGCGGTGCGAAAACTCGGCTCAGGAGTGATTGTGGTCCGGGTCATTTGAGCTGTCGTCGTGCGGCGATGGCTGAGCTGGCTGGGACGGCGATGGCTGGGTAGATTTGAGCTGAAGACCGAATCTATGGCTCTGAGACTTTCTCTCTACCTCTGGCGAGGCTCAATCAGTGCGACCATAATCAGATTCTAGAACTTGAATGGCGCGTTTCGCATGAACAACGGGTCCGCTTTGGGCGGGAGGCGAAGCAAGGATAGACGTGGAGGGTGGTGTTTTGAATCGTGGTTCTCGGAGATGAGAGAACCAGGCACAGTTGCATCGAGGGCTCGAAAACGGAAGACGGGGGTTCGAGAGCGAGATCATACATGTTTGTTCTGATGGTGGGGAGATGCGTGTTTGAGGTACACAGCAATTGTGGGTGTGAAGCATGATCGGCAGCTACATATCTGGAGGCTGGAGACGGCACAAGACCCGAATACGGGCCCGGTGAAGAACGACAGCATGGCCTGCGCTCAAGGCGATGGCGTGGGGAGACTTGGGATGGGAGAGAGGAGAGAGAGGGGTTGGAGTCGTGATTGGGTGCTGGGGCGTTTCATATTTGCGGAAACATTACACCGGTTACGTGAATCAGGGTCGGACAGTCAGCAGAGATAGATGAATCGGGTACCACGATTGGCCATGGAGACACTAATTCAGCCTTACGCTGTAACACAGAAACTCCCTAGCCACGAGATTTGCCGCCAGCGGTCCAGCAGCCGCTCCCCTTAGCGAATCAAGTGCCGACTCCCGCGACTTCATGTTGCAGCGCCTCTCCCCTTTTGTTTCAACATCTGCACCATGCAAAAACCATCCCGCCCAGCGACTCGCCTTATCGAGTGGCCAGCGTGTTTCTGCACCTGTTTCAACGCCCTCTGCGCTGTGCTAGCCAACAATGTCGGTGAAACAGCCTGTTTGCGCGGCCCACGCCTCCTAACCCAGCCACTGTGATCTCTTCACCACGCAGCATCCCTCCGCTGTCCCAGGCACCGCCATGGAGGGCCCCGGGAGGCCTTGCGTCCCGCATGCAGCGTCCGGCTACTCCGACCACACGCCGCCGCAGAGGCCGCTTTGCAGCTGGGCCGTTGAAACAAGCCTTGCCTGCCCTGTCCTTCACCCGCGGCCACCCCTCAGGTACCACGACTGCTGTCGAATCGAGCCGCTCTCCGAGGACGTGGCCCACACGCCGCCCCGGCTGAGGTTTGGACATGCCGCTATATAGAGCCAGACCCCCCTCTGGCCGCTTTCCTTTTCCGTCACATCGATTCTCGTATTCTCTTCTTTACTTCTTCATAGCGTCTTTCCACGAAGCGGCCAGCACGCTCTCACAGTCACTCCTTTAGACAAGATGCTTTTCTCTACGCTCCTTACCGCTGCTGCTCTCATCCGCCTTAGCATAGCTGGCTATGTTTTGCAGGATGACTACAGCTCTGCAAACTTCTTCAACATGTTTGACTTTTTCACCGGTGACGATCCTACCAATGGTGTGTGTTACTTCGATTGAGGAAAGGGCTATGGCTGACTGAGAAGGTTTCGTGCAATATGTCGATTCAAGCACTGCATCAAGCACTAACTTGACCTCTACCCCTAATGGAAACGTCTATCTGGGAGTGGACCATACCAACGACACTCCAAACGGAAGGCCGAGCGTCCGTCTCACCAGCAAGGCGTCCTACGACAGTGGCCTGGTCATCTTGGACCTCGCTCATATGCCTGCTGGTTGTGGAACTTGGCCTGCTTTCTGGATGGTCGGACCTAGCTGGCCCAGCAAGTGAGTTAGCCACTACTTGAGATCTTTCCAGACGCTAATATAGTGAAGTGGCGAGATTGATATTATCGAAGGAGTCAACGAGCAAGCATCCAACGCCATGACCCTCCACACGGGCCCCGGCTGTGCCATCACCAACGGCGGCGGCTTCTCCGGCTCCATCAGCACCGACAATTGCGACGTCAACGCTGATGGCCAGTCTAAGAATGCTGGCTGCCAAATCGTCGACTCTTCCACCGTTAGCTACGGTGCCGGGCTGAACAATAATGGTGGCGGTGTCTTCGCGACCGAATGGACCTCCACCGCCATCAATATTTACTTCTTCCCCCGCGGCTCAGTCCCCTCTGACATCAACAGCTCTCCTGACCCATCTGGCTGGGGAGAGCCTAGTGCCACGTTCAAGGGAGCCTGTGATATTGCTACCACATTCAAGAGCCAGCAGATTGTGTTTGACACTACCTTCTGCGGTGATTGGGCCGGCGCTGTTTGGAGCAGTGGCTCTTGCGCGTCGAAAGCTGACAGCTGCAACTCCTTCGTCCAGAATAACCCCTCCTCCTTTTCAGAGGCCTACTGGAGCATTAACTCGCTCAAGGTTTTCCAACAAAGCGCGGACACGCCCTTGGATAGCTTCTCCACCTCCAAGTCCCAATCTTCGGCCGTCGTCTCTACCATTGTTGCCTCAACCTCAGATCTTGTCCCATCTCTCTCGATTCCCTCCCTCTCGATCCCCTCCCTCTCCCTCGGCTTCCCAACTCCCTCCGAAACGAAGACCACCTTCGCAATCTTTACCAAGACTAGCGCCGCCGCACCTTTCCCGACTCTTAGCTCCAACTCCACCGGAGGAGTCTTCCCCACTGGCTCCGGCATCTTCGCGACAGGCACCGGCACCGTCGCGCCCTTCCCCTTCCCAAACCAAAATGCCACCAACAGCACCTTCCCCACTGCTTCAGGCTCGAAATCGACCGTTACCCAAACGATCACGCTGACCGAGACCGTGAACCCTGGGGATGCTGTGACTGCTACGAGCTCTTCAGGGGCTGTATCAAGCGCGGCGGTTACCAGTGCGCCTGCGAGTGTGAGTGCACCAGCCGGAAACCCGAACAACCCGATGGCATTCAGCCGTCTCCACCACAATCACTTTTCACCACCCAGCAAGCGTGGCGAGAGTGAGATCAAGTCTGAGAAAGCGGCTCGGAGGCGCGCGCGTCATTTAGCTCAGTTGAAGGAGAAGAGGCACGGTTCCTCGTAGATATCTTCACGAATGAATGGGGTAGGTCGGTTAGTTGGACCAGTACACTTCTTGTAGATAACATTTATATTTCTTTTTCGGATGGGATAGGATTGGTGTGGGTCAAGTCTATGGATATATGGACATGTCACTGGTATGTGACGGTGGAAATCTGGGTTTGATATATCCATGGTATCATACGAAATTCATCAGATATACATATCGGTTTTCATGACTTCTCGATTTCTTTTTCAACTCTGCGAAGCGACGACAATATCTCCCTTTTCCAACTTCTCAAAACCATCACCATTAGATCTAGTCACGATCTCATCACGTGCTCATCCTTCTAATTACCCTCATCACTCCTTCTCGTCTTGACTCATCTCATAATTCTTATTCGCTCGTCTTCATTCTCATCTTCCTGCCTACACTGTCCCTATTCCGTCCTCATCGCCCGGTTCCTTCCCCGGAACTGTCACGTCGGAGCGTCACGTCCCCGCTCTCTTCCGCCCGCCGTGACACTCCTCTACTCCTATTCGCCCTCTCTATCACATGTTCGCTGCGTCGGCCATACCGCTCATCCCTTCTCGTCATCATTCCGGCTTCACTCTCGTTCTCCGATCACTTTCGCTCCTCGTACCACTCCTCCCCTCCCCCCATTCGCTCCCGCTCTTCACATGCTCGCTACGCCGATCATCCACGTCTTCCCTTCTGACCCGGCGCGATAAAGTCCCGGATGTGCTCCCGGGGAACTCGTTCCCGACGCACCTCGTGCTCATGACGTGGTTCCACGGCGTAGTACAGGGAGTATCGGGAACATCGGGAAGAGGGGAGCGCATGTGAGGGCCAGCGCAGTGCCGGTTTCGGCGAGGGCGGGTATATAGGAATGCCGTAGCCCCCGAGGAAGTTGGTTCTTCAGAGCAGAGAGGAGGTGGGAGATGAGGAGGGAGGAGTTGGAAATCAGAAAAGACATCGACAGAAACGCACATGGTGTGGAGGGTGTGTGGGAGGGTCTTGGTGTGAGAAGATTGTGGAGCATGGTGTGGAGGGGATGCTTGGGGTTCGAAAATATTCAAGCCCTAGAACTGATGGTGTGGAGGTGGGCTGGGCTGGGAGTTGTTGTGGGAGTTGGTATCGAGGAGTGAGAAAAAACCGCTCATCTGATCGGGAAATGAGTGGGGAGGGGGAAGGGGAGGGGTGTGGGGTGTGGGTGTGGGTGTGGGTGTGGAGATCTGAATCGAGACCCTGCACCCATCAGCAGCATGGGGAGTGGTGGAGATGTGGCTTTGCTGATCAAATACATCAATCGAGGCAATAGCTGCATGGCTGTGGGAGTTGGGGGTCCCAATACGCAACGTCTCACTCGTTGATGGCGGTGTCTCTGGGCCATATCACAATCTGGAGTAGTCCGAACGTATGTGAGCGTGTTTCTGGGGATCAAAGATGCGTCGAAGTTCGCAATGGCGGTGCCCTCTGGATCGGAGCATTCAGTCAGGTCTAACAGAAGTGTGATATGGGTATGTGTGCCTGTGGATCGAAAAGATTACACCTGTCTAGCTACATGTGGCAGCGTCTCTGGATCCCAGCATCCAGATCAGTTACCGCAGTGTTTAACATTCACGGCACGGGCGTGTGTCCTGTTGATCAAAACATGTTACTGGGCAACACAATGGCTGATTGCTGTACCAAAACCAGACCGTAAACCATGATATGACTTTGCGTCCTCCGGATCGAGCATTTCGGCCAGCCAAGTACGGACTGACGAACTTCGTCATGTCGACCTAGCCTTCTACCGCTACTTCATCTAGCGCCGTCCCATCTATCGCGGCCTCATAATCCCCGTCCACCCAATCGATAATGGTGTGTGTTCTGGACTGGATCGGAGCATCTAAGATATCCCCAAAAATGCCATGGGTGTGTTTGGGGATCAAAAGGATACTTAGAGGCATACTATGCGTACTACCCTGGGTCGAAGCGTTTATATCAACTCGCCCAATCAGTGCATGAGTGCGTGTTCGGTAAATCGAGACGTATCTGACATGCACGCCATGGCTGTGTTTTTTGCAGTAAAGCCTTCGAAAGGCGTTCAAATGTCTGCATCAGATTCCCAATACTCTTACAGTGGTGGCTCATGGCTGGGGGAGCGGTGAATCCAAAAAAGCGTCGTGGCCATTCGTGGAATGGCTGTGTCTTGTGAATTGCAGCATTCGCCTCTCGATGCATCAAACCCGTAAACGAGCGGCTCGCATGGCCGTGGTTCCTGGGTCGGAGCATCCACACTACAGTCCTCCGGCCTAAGTTTGGGCACTCCTTCTTGCCACCGCTTGAGATACTCCGGCGGGGTTTCAAAAATCCCAACGCCATGTAAAGGCTGATGCAGTAGGAAATTGGTAACCTCATGGATAATGTGATACCGGTGAGCTAGGGCACCCCTCACAGTGGTGTTCGGAGGGCAAGAGGAGAAGCCGTGTAGTCAAACATGCGCAAACCCGATTTTATGGCGGAATACTGTATCCAAATCCTGCATTAACCCCAGGCATGGGAGTGCGTCTGCATCGAAAGTTGCCTTTGCAAGCCTCCGATGGCTGCGTGTTCTGAATCGGAGCGTCTTAGATTGGTCAGTTTGCCTTCCTAGAACACCCCCAAATCGGAGACGTCGTCATGGATCGAAACTAAAGTCTTGACTGAGGTATGGCTGCATCTTGAACCAAAGCATCAAGAATATTATTCATCAACGTCTATGTGTGTGTGTGGCTGCGGATCAACTTCCTCTTCTGGACTGAAATGGGTGGTTTCTGGGCTGGAGCGTCTAAAACTAAACCGTTCCAAACTGCAGCTGCTGATGTTGCATGGAGGAGTGTCTGTGTGGTCAATAGGGCTGAAAAGCACGCTGCAGAAACGAATGGCTGCGTCTCCTGAATCGAAGCGTCTGGAGCTGTTTGATAAGGCCCTCCCAGAACACCCCCTAACGGGGGGTGTTTTGATGGATTGAGAAGCCGTCACTTCGATGATCAATGGTTGCATCTCGGATCAAAGCGTTAAAAGCCCGCCGTATCAACAAGCATGGTTGCGCGTTGCTGATAACGAAAATCGCAATATGTTTCTCCATAATGGCAGCATCCTTTGGGTTGGAGCATCTAACAATTAAACGGTCCAAACCGACCACGCGAAGCTTTCCATGACTGTGGGAGCTGTGCGGCCATCAACTGGGGGTCACTGGTAACGATGGCCGAATCCCTGGACCCCAACGTCGTAAACAGGTTATGCACCGGGCGTTCCACTTCAGATAGCTGAGGTATTGATCGAAATTCTGCGTAAGGCCTTCGCATGACTGCAGCTTCTGGATCGGGGCGTTTAATTCAATTGTATCAGCATACAAGCATCGCAACCTGGATCATGGGAGCGTGCCGGTAGAGCGAAACGCCTAGCAAGATAGCGTCATGACTAGGTCATTAGATCAGAGCGTCGAAACAGTTCGAGAAGCTGCTGGGGTTATGCTACGATAGGGGAAGTTGTGCATTCAAAGTATTGCAGTGGCATGACTGATGAGCTGTGTCGTCTGGGCCGAAGCGTTCATACCACCTAATACTCCTGGACCATGGGAGTGGTCCGTGAATCGAAATCTCTGCAATGCTGTTCAATGACTGCGTTTTCTAGGCTCGAGCGTCTTAATCAGCTCAATTACGGAGCAGTCAATCTTCCAGGGTGGTGTGTCTGAGGATCTGATGATCTATAGCACAGGGTAATTGGCGACTGCGTCTCTGGATTGGAGCATTCATACTAAATGCCGCAACACACCGTCTGCATGCGTGTATTGTACAGATCCAACGTAGACTATCTCACTATGGCCAATAGCAGCCTTCTCTAAGCTATAGTGTTAATACAGCCGGGAAGAGATCTTTGAGGTTATATAACATACGGATTAATGAAAGGACGCATCCAACTCCCGATGATGGTGTTTTCTGGGCATAATATCCAAACTCCAATCCCTATGAGAGCGGGTCTCTGGATCCGGACTCGAGGGACTTCACACGACGGCAGAGCAGTCCACGGAATCAGGGTGGGAGTCGAACTTGAATCTGATTCCTGGAAAGAAATCAAAGTACCTGATTCAGAGGAAGCGGCAAAGTAATCTCGTTTGAATCTATTGTGATGCATTGGAGCACCTCACACGGTGGGAATGCAGGTGCAGCGTAAAATCGTCTTTGCTCCTGGTCTATGAGTGTGTCTTGTGGACTACTGATGTTTCACTTGGCGAACTGTCGGCTTCGCCGTCTGGGCCGAAGAGTCAATATTGATGAAATCTACTTCAGGGCTGTGACATGTGTATCCTGCGGACTTAAAATGCCGCTCACTGCGGATCATGCATATATCTGCTCAGT